CGGAATATAATTTATTGATCATCCTAACAGGTATACTTGATGTCATGAGTTAATTAATAATTATTATCTCTGCCTCTCAGTCTTATTAAGAAAAATTTTAGATAATATTGTATGCATTCACGATTTAAATTCACCAAACTTTCAACAAATATGTCAATTACCAAAGACTCGCGGCGCCACTTTGTTTACTCTGGAGATTCAGTCGACTGAAAGCCTAACAGGAGAAAAGAACACTGTGGTGCGTTTATGTGTCGCTGTCAAACGTAAATTACAGCTATATTATTGGAAGGGAAAGAAGTTTGAAGAATTTAACGATTTTGAATTAACGGTGCCAGATATACCTCGTCAATTGTCATGGTAACATATACTGAACAATTATTAAAATGCTACAACATATACCTTTATTTTGATCAATTTGTATTAATTATTGAGGTGCGGCGAAACATTAGTACTAGGATTTCGTGGATTGTCCTATACGATTTTCGACCTAAACGATAAACCTAAGGATCTCTTTCCCACTGGTAAATCTCCAGAACCAAGTATTACGAAATTATCAGATAGTTCTTTTGTCCTGGGTAAAGATTCTCAATCATTCATCATGGATACGAAAGGAGAGTTGGTTCAGCACAATCCAGTAAAATGGTCGGATACGCCTAATGCAATAGGTATAGAGAATAGATTATCGTTATTATTTCTCTCTTTAATTATAATTAATCAAATTTTTTTGTAACATATTTTAGCATGGGATGATCCTTACTTACTTGGTATCGTGCACGACAGATTGGAAGTGTATACCTTAGAAGGATGTCTACATATCCAGACAATAAAGGATCTGAATAAAGCTAGACTTATATATCGATGCAAGCAAGGGAGAGTTTTTGTGGCATCCATTAGTCAAATTTGGTGTATCAATGCAATTGATGTTACTTTACAAATTAGGACTTTGCTGGAGCAAAATCAGTTTCAGCTGGCATTACAATTAACCGTACGTTAATTATATCTAACATTAATGTAGATTATAATTCATTTTTTATAATGCCATATTATTCACATATATTTTAGAATTTATCAGACATAACAGATGAGGAGAAAGCCAAACAGACCTATAAAATACAAACATTGTATGCGCATCATCTGTTCTACAATAAGCGGTTCCAAGAGGCAATGGATCTGTTCTTGAAACTGGGAACTGATCCATATGAGGTGATCAGATTGTTTCCAGATTTAGTTACGCCTTCGACCAATACTCATGAATTCAATGAACCAGCACCCGGTTTGCCGAAGCTGCAAGATCATGATTTAGAAAAGGGCTTACGTGCATTGATAGTTTTTCTAACTGAAGTCAGGCATAAGCTAATGGCGAAGGACAAAGAACTTAGTAAGGAAAAAAATGGAGTAAATGGAGAAAAGAATTTAACCGCTGTAGCTACGGAGCAACTTTTAAAGATTATAGACACGACCCTTTTAAAATGTTATTTACAGGTAAAAAAGAAGAATAATAAAAATCTATACGTGGAAGAAGTTTCTTACTGTTTACATGAAATAAACATTGAACGAAATTTGTTTTAGACCACTGACGCCTTGGTAGCTCCTTTACTTAGACTGAATCACTGTCACTTGGCAGAAGCTGAAAAAACTTTATTGATGCATCAGAAATATCCGGAGCTCATTATATTGTATCAAACCAAAGGGCAACACAAGAAAGCGTTGGAGCTACTGGAGAAACACGCAAAGGAAAACGATTCTAGTCTGAAAGGCACTGAGAGAACTATACAGTATTTGCAACATCTCGGCAAGGATCATATGGATTTAATATTAAAGTTTGCCGGATGGGTTTTAACGGAGGATCCTGAACAAGGCCTTAGAATATTTATGGAAGATATACAGGTATTTTTTTGTTCTGTTTCTACATTTAATATTTTCCTTATTTATGTATTTTTTATCGCATTTGTAGGAAGTTGAACATTTACCTAGACCAAAGATATTGGATTATCTTCTACGTTTTCACAAAGACTTAGTGATACAATACTTGGAACATGTAGTACATGTTTGGGAAGACACCAATCCGTTATTTCATAATGTTTTGATACATCAGTACAAAGAAAAGTGTCTAGCTTCCATGAATGCAAATGCAACGCCAGCGGAGAAAGAGATTTCGCAACACATTCGACAGAAATTACAACAGTTTCTAGAGAAATCGACGCATTATACACCGGAAACGATATTAGTGCATTTTCCATTTGACAGTTTGTTCGAAGAACGTGCAATTATACTTGGACGACTCGGTCGTCATCAGCAAGCTATATCGATATACATTAGTCTTTTAAATGATATACCACACGCAATACAATATTGTCAAAATGTATATACAAGGTATCAAAGTAAGTGGATTTTAAAATAATCAGTATTATTAATCGAATAAAGGTAATAATTATTTGCACATTATATTTTAAGATCAAGATCGTACATTGGAGAAACCAAAGCAGACGGATAATGCTGATGAAGTATACGTTTTGCTAATTCAGCAGTTATTAAAACCGGACAACGAAGGAGTTTTGATGGCTGGTAAGTATTGACGTAAACAAGATTTGACATGTATATAATTTGATACAATGTTATGTATGTATAATTATTTTTACTCTTTAAGGTTGTAATCCGGAAATTCAAAGAACGACACAGCCAGATTTAGAAATGGCCCTTCGACTGTTAGAGGAGCACGCCCCAAAGATAAATCCTATGAAAGTCCTGGAGGTGCTACCGGATTCCGTTCCTATTGGTAGAATAAAACATTTTCTGGAAGTTAGCTTACAGAATAACTTGAACGCAAGGCGGAGAACCCAAGTTCTCAAAGGGCTGCTTTATGCGGAGCATTTACAAGTGCAGGAGCAACGAATGCATTACGAATCGCAGAGTGTCCTCATGACAGAATTTAACATATGTCCAGTTTGTAAAAAACGATTTGGTAACCAAAGGTTCGTATGTGTGTCTTATAATTTAAAGTATTACACGTGTATATTAAGGCCCTATTCTGTAATTTTTAACAACAATGTGTCACTATATTATTTTTATGTAATTTTTTTGCCATGTATAAAGTATGGTAAAAAAATGCACATTGATACTACAATGATACTGTTGTTAAAGAATTATAGAATAAGAATCTCATAAATTGACATAAATTAATAATATTAATTATATTAATAAATTAATAAATTAAGTTAATTAATAAATTAACATAATATTAATCAGTCCTGTTTTCTTTCAGCGCTTTTGCGAGATATCCCAATGGTGATATAGTGCATTACTCTTGTCAAGATCGCAAGGGATAAAGGCGGATTTGCAAGATTATACATAAGTTACATAAGTTTTATGGTACATAAGTTTAAGATTGTATATATCGAATGTACGCATTTTATATATATGAATTTCGCATACACGAAATTCCGATATATGTATTGTTACGCAAAATTCAAAAACTATCTACTCTGCAGTCATATTAAAAATTATTAGTAAAACTACTTTTTGCAGGAAATTTATTAGGTCGATCACTGCCATTTCTTTCTTTTTTTATGGTGCGCTTGTTATTACATCCCATAAAAGAGAAGTGCAAACGAAAAAAAATAATCGTACAAAATACGCAAGATGTAATTTACCGATCGAAATCTTCGCGGTAATAATTTAAGTGGTCGAACGTAAAATAAAATTTAAAAAATTACGAACTGAGGGCACAGTCGCGTTCTCGACTATTTGAATTCCTCTGCGAGTATTTTGATGCCGAGGCGCGATTGGCTGCACAATACACGCCCGCGTGACATTCGAAATCGAAGTTTGCGAAGTTAAAAACCAGTGGTGGCTTCTTCGCGACCGCGAAATTTTTGCCATGCGAGGACGACGACGAACGTCAGCACCCATCCACATAATCACGGGGGAGGAAAAAAAGAATTAAAGCTCTGAGGAATGCAGTGTGGAGGATGGGGCGTGACCGCGGTCCAGAATACGGATTGATGATGTCATAAGCGATCATGTATTCCTACGCCGGCCGGCGTAAGACGGCCGAGAGACAGGTACAGTACAGATGAGAATGCTCGCAATTGTCCAAGGCGTGATCCTACATCACATCTTCGAGGGTTGATTTGTTGAAAATCTCATTTATGTCAGTTTTATTTATATTTTTTATATTTATCTATTCATTTTATATATTTTTTTTTAAGTTTTTTTCTTAAAAATCTAATTTGTAAGATTGTCTTCTTTCTCATTCAAAGAATCATTATATCGCATATTTGAAATCAAATTGGCGTTTTATTCGACACTTCATTTCATAGTTGAACTTATCGATCTTTTCTTTCCGATGATCGAGACGCACCTTAGACAAATTTAATACTGTGTTAATTTAAATCAGTGCGAGTTTAAATTAATTAGTGAATAGTGATTAATTACTTATTTATAAAAGCACTAACAATGATTTAATTCTAAAAATAAATAAATAATCATTAATCAATTTAATACTTACAATGAGATTTTACTTATACAGTATCAAATTTTTCTAATGCCTTTTTCTATCAATGTAGATTAATTTATTTAATCTCGGTTTACTTTACTCATTTTTTTCCAATTCTTAGGACTAGAAAAAGATGAAGAGTTGATTAAAATTAAACTATATTGCTTTATATATATATATATATGTGTGTGTGTGCGCGTGCTATAAACGGGCCCGGCATAAGGACCATTTTATCTTGAATGTGTGCGACGTAAGTGACGTCACACACACGACGTTCGCGGTCCACGTCGAGTGTCGGTGCGTTTGACAGCGCGTACTGTACCGATTCCCCACAAATCCCCGCGCTCGTTCCGGAGTCGGTTACTTCGGGGCGATATTTGAAACGGGAGCGAGATTCGGGGTGAAACCACCGTGGTAGACGCGCGCGCGCTTCGCCTTTTCCAATTTTCCGCGTCGACCGGGTCAGCGCGCGCGACGAAGCGCCACTTTTTGCGCGAAGGGACTAGCTGCGGCGGCGTAGGTGCGCGCTGCGCGCCGCTCAGTCGGTTACGCGCCGGTCGAGTGTGTGGACGGGCGGATCGGTGTTGGATCGTAATTTGGTGGTATTTTGGTGTACCGGGCCGGGGACTTTTATGCGAGTTGCGTGGCGGAACGGTGCCGTGGGGTGTCCTTACGCGAGGGTAAGTAAACCCGATGTTGTACAAGTCCTTCTCGGCCGTCCGGCGTTTCAGCAGAAACGTGAACGAACGGCTTCCGAGTCGCCGCCTTGACTCGGTGACGGGTGGATATTGGTGTCGGGATAAAAATGGCGTGCGCCGCCTCGGTTTTTCTCTCTCTCTCTCTTTCTTTCTCCCTCTTTCTCTCTCTTTCTCCGTATACAGTAGTACACCAGATAGTACTATGGGCCCATCGGTGCCGGTGCGTCGCGACGGTGAGTCGCGCTGTCAATAATGATTGTGCGGATATCGTGAATCGCGTCGCGACGACGGTGGCGTCGTCATCGCCGTGTCGCCCACGGAGACCGTGGGGCCCTACCGGCATCGATTGCCGCATCGTCGTCATAGTCGTCGTCGTCGTCGTCGGTGAGCGTGTCCTACTGTATTTATCATTGAATCACTGCCACCCACCCTCCCGCCTTCGTCAATTCCTCGATTTCTCTCGCGCCGTGTTCGTCGTCCGGGTTTGATTCCCCCGCGACGATATCTAGCGCGGGGCGTCGTCGATTCGTGAAACCTCTCTCTCTCTCTCTCTTTCTCTCTCTCGATTGGCTTCGATCGGCGACTTTTTCGCAGCCCATATCTCTCCCGACGCGATGGCGAGGTCGCCGCCGGTCGACTTTAATTTCCGCCCGTATCTCTCCCACTTGATCGACTCCTCTCCGCCATCCGGCCATTCGTCCATTCGTTCCTCCCTGCCGTCAACGGTTTTGTTCACCTGTCACAAGACGACCTATCTGCCGGTGACCCAATTTCCCGGCGCTTCCATTGAACGCGCTTCCATCGAGCGCCGAGGAGTGGAATCGAACGTAGCTGAACGTAACTCGCCGTCCGCGCTTGTGCGAACTAGAGACCCTGTAACAGAGTCTGGCTAGGAGCAATTTCGTCAAAACAAAAATGAGAAAGAAGGATATATATATATACTGAAAAAAAAGATTGGCTGCTGCAGCAAAGAGATGGTATATATACACTAAAAAAAAATTGACTGATGCAATCAATTAAAAATGCTATGCCATATTTTACCATCTAATTTGCTGCAGCAGCCAATCTTTTTTTCAGTGTATATATACCATCTCTTTTTGCATATTCATCTTATTCATTCTGACTTATCGAAGTTGACAAAAGCAAAGTGCCAATCAAGAATTTGTCATCTCGTTGTCAAATTCTGGGTGCATTCCAGCAAGAGACACAGATGACAGAGTAACACGGTGAATCATTATATTCTTATTAATTGCCAATGTCAGAGATGAAATGATCACTGTGTAGGATAGGAGCACAGACTCTTGCATAACGCATAAAGCATAAGAAAATTAACCAATCGGAGTGTTTTATTTCATGGAAAAGAAAGAAACAAAGGACTTTGATTGATTAATTTTCTTATGTATTATGCATAAAACTTACCATTGTGTGAGCATAGTAAGTGGTTGTAGTTGTAAAAATTCATCAATGATCACAGCCGAATACGAGAAGAACATTCGACTGTGATTGGTCAATTTTTACAACTACAATCACTTATAGCTACTCTTAGAATTTTTGCAATTGTAGAACAAGCTTAAGGCATAAAAAAATCAATTAATCAGACTTTTTTTATGTATCGTAGAAAGGAAGGACTTTGATTGGTTAATTTTTTTTATGCATTATACGTTATGTAAGATTCTGTGCTCCGCCCTTACGCTGTGTCATTTTTTTGAAAGCATTATCTGCAGTTATAGGGTTTCTACTGCTATAATAGGGAGTTTTTGCAATAACGTGAATTCAGATACGGTGAACGCTAAAGTCACGCTATCCTTTTCCTAATTAGTTAAGAAGAAGATAACCTGACTTTAGCGTTCACTGTATCTGCATAAACGCTATTGCAAAAACTCCCTAATAACGTGTCGCCTCGTACACGGGGGAGAACAGAGACGCGTTTTCTGGATGTTCCTCCCTTTTTTTTTTTAATTAATTACTTTACGCCACCCGGTGACACGAGTGACGGAGAGCGAAGGATACTCGACAGTGCCCGGCGCGACAATAATCGTAGGGGCTCTCTCCGCAGCGTGTTGGCTTAGCTTTAAATTGATGTCAATGGGCGTGGAAGGGCAAATAAAGCGATCTCGCGCTACGATCGTGCGAGATAAAGCCGTCCTTGTACCTGCCCGCTCGAAACTTCATCGCCGTGTGCTAGTAATACGTCTAGCGAGCGTCTTCCAGCGAAAAACTGTCGCCCAGCTGATATAAGCGAGATTAGGTTTACGAGGTAAAGCGGAAGTTCAGTTTAACGGTTTACTTTAACAGTTAAACAATCCCCCTTGCTCCTTGACGCAAAGGTCTTGGACGACACGACATGACACGTCGACGCAACGTTATCGCGTTTATGCCTACTATAGGCAGTCTGTTATGTAAGAATTATTGTTCAAGAATCATCATAGGAATCTTATACTTCAATAATGCTGTCAGTACCAATAATTATACTGACAATATTGATCGTATACGATTAATATTGATGGATTGATAATAGATTATTGACAGTTGGATTTCTTCATTCTCGAGCTGATGCTCAAGAATTAAGAAATTTGGATTACTGTGAATAATATTATTGCACAAAAATATCATTTTATTGTTAGGAAAATTGATTACTCAATTTACTTTCTTCTACTTTAAAAAAATATCTTTAACATAGAATATTTTTTCATAATAATCTTAAAATGTACTTATTACAATTTTAGAGAAACTCTATTATGTACTCACAAAACAAGAATTTATTTTCTTATGAAGAATATAAAATTGATCGAAGGAGCGACTTTATGTAATAAACAAATCGAATTTGTTTTAATTTAATAATTCCGGTTGAAGTATTAAACTTACTAGGATTCAGAATATATTTTGAATAAATTTGATGCTTGTGATAAACTTGTGATAGATTTGATTTTATGAACTTTTAAGATACTTGAAACAAGTAATTATTACTTGTGTACAGTATTTGTTGATATTGACTATATTAATCGTATAAAGTCCGTAATGTACATAGAAATGAGCTGAAATATTGTAAATAATACTGATCGTGTAAGATTGTAGAAATATAAAATATTGATGCGTATTGTCAGTATTTCACTGATTCAATATTACTAATCAATATATTATTGATCGTGTTAAAGTTCGTATTATAGATAAATTTCAATCGCTAGTCTTGTAACTTCATTTAGAACTCGTTAAAATCTTATCCGTCGAAAGACGAATGTTAAAAATCAGTTAAGTGTCACGAATTGGCCATTTCCTCGGTTTAGTTTCAATAAATATTCTCTCCGCATTTAGCGTTCTCAAGAAAAATGTTCTCTCCGATTAATCTCAGCGAAAGATCAGCCGAGTGCCACAAATTGCCTATTTCCTCGCCTTAGCTTCAATAAATATTCTTTCCTCATTTAGCAGTTCTCAAGAAAAATGTTTTCGGTCATCAATCTCTGTGAAAAATAGTCTAATAAACAGTATTTTTCATCGAACTTTTAAATATTGCAGTAGCAACCTCTTTCTCTTCTAATAGCGTTTGGTGTCGGTGACGAGTTTCAAAATATCTCTTTTAAATGCCATTAATCTTATTGTTCTTTTTAGCTGAACTTCCACTGCTTATTTTTCCTATTTTCTTTTCTCCAACGCAGAGAAAAGAAGGAAAAGTGAAACGTGTAAGAAATTCAGTTGAAAACAACAGACCTATTGTTACATACCGTTGCATGAATTCCATTTTAATCTAGCTCGGGACGAAAAGAAAATAGTAGGTCTTTCTGTCGTTCACCACAATAAATTTGCGAATGAAATTTTGACAGCTTTGACCGAGATGTTTGTCAAATATATCTCGCGAAATTAACCGAAGGTTTGTTGAATCTACGATCGCGCCAAGCTTTAGTGGAACTACATGGAAATTTCCCTACAAGAGAAGTTCCACTTTTTTATAGTGGAAATCCATATACCTATTTCACGTTAAATATAAAATGTACACTATAGTTCAAAATAAATATAAAAAGCAATCTTCGAGTTTCATCTCGATTCACGGCCGCTTCCGCGTCCAGCGTGTCGATTTCGTGTCCAGTTCTTCCGCCACATCGTGCTCGACGGAAGTGCGTGCGTGCGTGCGTGCGTGCGTGCATTCGCTCTTTCGTTCGTTCGCGGATGCAGGGGAGGAGGAACAAGAGCGAACAAGCGTACGCACTCGCTGTGTCGTTTACGCGGCATGCGCTATTTCGGGAGTACACGCAACGACGTTAATCTGTCAGGAGAAGGTAGAGTAAACTCCTCTCTGGCGGAGAACTCCCTTCGAGAAAGTTTCAAACACGATCCTCCTTTCTCGACATTCCTCGTTTATGTATTCCTCATGTACATACGTTCGCGTTTCTTCTTTCTGTCGAGCTTGATACCACGCTTACAATCGCTCCCAATCACGTTTGCACGCGAGAGTGTTGTTTCGTGGAGTATCCTATTGCAACGTTGATCTCAAGAATGAAACGGGTTAAAATTAAAATTACTTGCCTAGTCGAATTCTCTAATCTCTAATTCGCAATCCTCAGTCTCCAAAGTAGTGTGACACGGGCTTTAAACGCCACGTTACAGGAACAGTAATACATCTATGATATGGCATTATACTCATCCAATTTTATTGTTTATAACTTTCATAAAAATGAATAAAGAGAGCGAAGAATCAAAGCGGGTCTTGATAGTCTCTTAGGCCTAGTTCCACAACTCACGAGGTTCAACTTGTTTCTCATCTCTTTTCAATTCTAGAATTGGAAAGAGAAAATGAATTGAACCTGGGTTAAGAGTTAACTGTGAGTTATGGAACTGGGTCTTAATGTCTCTTTTTATTGTATACGCGCTGAAAAATTTCTGGCTGTTTGGAGCCTACACTTCAAAAAGAATCCGATTGCATTAATTGAAACTCTAGCTGAAAATAAACAAATCAGAATTTTCTGATTGAATCTATTATAGTTCTACAC